AATGGTTTAAAAGTGTTCAAAGCCCATCTTATCTTTGATTGGTTAATTATGACTTTGGCCAGGTTCCAGTTTGCCCTGTTCATCTTGCTTTGGCAAGTGTCCAGGTTCTGCTGACCCGGCCCATCGTCCAAACTGTCAATCAATTTTGAATCAGGAAAGTGGACCCTGAATAATTCATTCAGCGTTTCCCTTCCTGTTTGAGTATACTGTCCGTTAGGCAGCTTAATTGTGCAAACCTTGTTGGTTGCCTGTTTTGCCTTCATCTTCATGAGTCTGGCACCGCCTGGTACATCATTGAATTCCTGGCAGTGCCTTCTCCGTGAGGATTGCTTGGCTTCCCTTAATTCTTTATTGTAACAGGCTTAGGCGGTTGGTCTTTCATAAGTATAACCCTCACAAGCCTCCAGGACCAAGAGTGCATGTTCGGGGGGAGGGGGGTATCCCAGATAACTGGGAGTGCGATACTAATTGTCATGAGGTTGCGACCAGGGCAACCTACACGAACTTACAGTCCCTGGAGGTTGCTTCAAAGCTCCCCCATTCCCACCCCTCCACATGGGTTGGTCGAAACCATTTTAGAGTGTTGAGCCCTAAGGCTTGCAGCACCTTATCGGTACTCTAGGGAGACAACTCAAATAGCCATAGCTACCCCCATAGGAGTGCTCTCCCGCATTCGTCCCGGGTACAACGTAATGAAACCCAAGAGTCATTATGCCGCCGCGTGGGAGCCTCTGGTCAAATGACCATTGCCCTTTATGGAACCTCGGCCGCAACCCCGGAGGTTCATGCTAATGCAGACCCTCAAGGACTGTCGTTGCCCAGCAGGACCACGAGGAGGTGTTCCAAAGCTGTGTCTCAACGCATCCCTGGTCTGTGATACGTCCACACCAAAGACACAGCCACCCTGCCTAACCTAACCTAACATTAGCGATTCTTTCCCAAGGGCCAGCTCCCTGAGTTTCAGTTGGATGTGCATTAGTGTTGGTTATGTTTGTAGCACAAATTTCTACCTCCTCCTTTATCCCTGTTCCACGCCTGTGCGTGCTTTATCACAGTTTTTATTATGTATTTTGTTATCTCCATCCATATTAGCCTGGGCTCAATTGATTAAATAGCTGTGTAAATCTATCAAGGGCTGTCCAGCGACTGAGATTAGCTCTTTCTGAGGGGCCAGACTGGTTAGTTGTCGTCTTCCCTTCAACTGAGGACGGAATCAGATCCAGTTTCCGAACCGTCCTGTTATCTCTTCTCAAGTACACCAAGCCACGGAATAAATCCAAAATCCCCTAATTCCATGTCACAGGGGTGTTTATGCAGTGTTGTATAGTCTTTGAGCTAAGTACGTGAAATCGCTGAACAGAGGAACATTTCGCCTCAATTTACAATGTCGGTGAATAATCTTTAAGGTGGTTTTGACATGTCACTCCGGAATGGATAATGACTTCCAGCGGACTATATGTAGTCCAGACAAATAGATAAATATACTTTACGACGGACTGTCAGCCAATTTGTCAGTCCGTCTTGGTGTTCATTCTCATTTGTGGCTCGAAACAGAATTTTAATTTGTCTCTCACAGTTACGATTTTGTTGATGTGGGGCTCCTCTTTCGGGAAGATGGTTCTGTAATTTGTCCGCACTATGATTGATCTATATCCGTTAGTTGTCATAATATTTGTAACGGCAGCAACCGCCGCCAGGTCCCTCAACCAGACCCCCTTCTTTCCTTTTCCCCCTCTCCCCATGCCCTACGCTTGCGCCCTTCATCCTTTCACCAGGGACTGAGAGGCTCGTCTGGACACTGGAGGGCCATTCTGCTGCACGCCGTGGAAGAGTCTGGTCTCGACCCCAAATTATTTTTTGGAATTTTGGTTTACTAAATTAACGGCGGAGTTGGTGGACGCTTGTACGTTGTGCCGTCC